AAATTTAACATATTTATTTTTATATTTTTAATAGTGTTAAAAAGATGGACATTTAAAATAAAATTTATAAAATTTAACATTGTAAATTATTCAATAATATGTGATCTGATAACTCAAAAATTAAGTTATAAAATGATAATTATATTTATTTATATACTCTAACACATCTTACATACAAGATAAATTCATAAGTTTGTTGAAAGATAAATTTATATTCTAGTCACGATTTTGAAATTATATAAAGAAAAAAAAAATCGTGTACCTCATGTTAAAGGAAGTACATATAAAATTGTTAATAAAATATAAGTTCATTAAGATAATATATATAATACTTCAAAAAAAAAACTTTTAAATTCTAAAAAAAAATTGTCTTGTAGGTTGCGATGGTTTATAGTAAACCGTCGCAATGCTGAAAATTTTGCGACGGTTTATGACTAACTGTCACAATGTTAAAAAAAATTTGCGATGGTTTATAATTAACTGTCGCAATGTTAAACAAATTTTGTGACGATTTACGATAAACAGTCGCAATGTTGAACAATTTTGCGATGGTTTATGATAAATCGTCGCAATGTTAAACAAATTTTGCGACGGTTTATCATAAACCGTCGCAATGTTAAACAAATTTTGTGACAGTTTACGATAAACCGTCGCAATGTTGAACAATTTTGCGACGGTTTTGAAAAACTGTCGTATGAAGGGTCGCAATATCAAAGCGACGAAAATTTCTAGATAACCGTCGCAATTTGTCTATCGCAATTTATCATTTTCCTTGTAGTGATATATATATATATATATATATATATATATATATATATATAAAATATGATAAAAAATAATAACTTATATAGCATAAACATACTTCAATGATTGAGAGGCCTTTTGAGTGATAACCAAGAGCAAAACCGTGAGGGCTTAGGCCCAGCAGAGAGGCCTTTTGGGTAATGACCAAAAGCAGAACCGTAAGGGCTAAGGTCCAAAGCGGACAATATCTCATCATTGTGGAGTATGTTTGTGTAATAACCTTATAAAATAACACTTATAAAATATCCTCTCAGACAAATACTATAAAATAACCCCATTAATATATATATATATATATATATATGGGGAATGCTAATATACTCTCACCTATTTTTTAGTGGGAGTATGTTAGCAACCAACACCAAAAGTTTAGGACAAAAAAACCAGTCATTTCTTTTAATTTGGTTAATTCGTACAAAGGATATTATAGTAATTTAATTTTATTTTAAAATAAAATTAAATATTTTCTCTCTCTTATTAACTTCAGTCATTAAGTCATTTCTTTTTTCTACTCCCTCCGTTTTTTTTTTCATAGTCGTTTTGTCAGATTTTGTTTTTTTTTTCATTTTCATTTTTCAAAAATCAATGACTTATTAATTTTATTTTTCATTTTTACCCTTGATAATTAATGCATGTTTACTAACCAATATGTTTATTCATTTTCTATTGTACTTATTTCTTCTCCAACAACCTAAAGAGTATAACAAGAAAATATGTAATAAATACTTTGAAAAACTAAAATATCAATAATTGTCTTAATTCTTGTGCATAACCTTAAATGACAATGAAAAAAAATGGAGGGAGTATTAATTAATTTTTATTTGTTCAGAGAGAGAGAGGGGGGAGACATCATGAGAGATGAGAGAGAAATAAGTTAAAGAAGGAATTTAATAGGAGAGAAATAAATAAGTTAGAGAAAGAATTTAATAGAAAAAATGAATGGGTTGAAGAAGGAATTTAATAGGAGAGAGGAATGACTTAGTGAAATAAATTAATAAGAGAGAGAGAAAATATTTAATTTTTATTTAAAATTAAATTAAATTACTATAATATCTTTTATACAAATTAACCAAATCAAAATAAATGAGTGATTTTTTTGTCCTAAAATTTTGGTGTAGGTTGCTAACATACTT